CCGAAAGCCCGTTTCGGGCCGGTGGCGACATGCCCCACTTCGACCTTAAATTCTGGGTCGAGGAAAGCCTGATCCAGGTCATCTACATAAGCCTTCAACCTGAAAGATTCGAGCAAAGGTTGGAAGGATGAGGTTGTCTCAGAAACTTGTTCAACAATTTTTTCTTTTTCTGACCCAGATGGACCACTCGTCCAGTTGCCAAGAACATCGAAGATGTTGTTGATATCCTCATCCTCTTCATTGAAAAAACTCATCAAGTCTAAATCAGTAGAAGGGATTGAGGAAAGTGCTTGGACAGAAGATTCGACACCACCTTGGGTCGAAGGAAAAGTAGTGAAAGGTTTAGGAGATTCCGTCGAATCTGCAAAGAGAAAAGACAAACAAAATGTGTAAGATAGTCTTGTGAAGAGTCATAATAAGAGTTTAAAGTTAAAGGAGATATACCCTTGTTTTGTCCCAAGGGAGGTTTGAGTTCGAAAGAAGGAGTGTCACCTTGCGAAGATTGGTGAGTTTCTACATTCACAAGAGGTTCCGATTGGGGAACCTTTTCACCCTCAACTTGAGGGGGAATCTCCATTGAAGCCATGATGGAGGCCATCTCGGCAACATTGAGTTGAGGAGTGGCCAACTGCAAACAAATGATTAGATTAAAAGAAAATTAAGGAGAGATATAGAAAAGTGAAAATCGAAGAAAATCGAACCTGCTGAGATGCCCTAGTAGAAATAGGAGTGTCCTTTGACATCTCCCGAGAAGATTCAAGTTGAATTATCTCGACATCCTGTAATCAATGAAGAAGCTTTCGCAAATCGAAGAAATATGAAAACGGAAATGGGAAACCAAGTGTAAAACATAAAATACCTTCGGGACAGATTTCATAACGTCCTTGAGAAGCTTCTCAATAGGAGGCTTTTTAGTCTTCTTGGGATGAGGAATCACTAGCTTCCCCTTCCCTTTGTCCTGTTTCTTTGTAGCCGAAACCTGAAATGAAAATAGTTAGGGTCGAGATATAAAGGAAATGTACAACCAAGACTGAATTACTCACAGTTTTAGTACTTGATGAATCAGCCTTTTGTTCTTTAGAGGTTTCAAGGCCCTGACAATACAACAAGTATTAGGAAAAGAATGCGAACGCGCGAATCCAAAAGTCAATCAAAAGGAAAGATCGAAAAGAATGGTACCTTGGAGTGCAATGAAACCTTGTTAGAAGCAGTCTTCCTCTTTCGACTTTTCAATGAAGACCCCTTATCCTCATCTTCATCGCTTTCCCAATTGGGAGTCTCTTCAGCATGTGGAGGAACCCATTGAGGGATAACAACTATATAATACAAATCAAGGATGAGATAAGTGTCAAATGGAATTCGAGAAAATTTCTCAGTTAAGAGTATTTACTAGGGGGAGGATTGGTATTATCGACCAAACACAATGGCCACCATCTCCTTCAAAGAAAATCGTACAGGGAATATCTCGCATAGGTAACCCGATTCTTTACAGGGACCTCTTTACGCTGAAAGTAAAATGGGTCGAGTGTCTTTACCCAAGAAGGGCAAGATAAATGTTTGACTAAACCAAAAAGAGCATTTGGAAGAGGAGGTATATGTTTTGGACAAAATTTTTCGAAATCAGTTTTGCCTCAAGGATTAATTACCTTTTTCGAGCGAATGTTCCTTTGTACCATTTTCGATAAAGAGACAGACGCGTCAAAGATGGTTCGACCAATGTTGTCAGGACGATAATAAACCTTAAAAAATTGCTCAAATTGATAAATAATAGTTTGGTTCTTGAAAGTACCTGATTGTTTCGGGCCCTGCGAAGAAAGAGGAGAATTAATCAGCTTCTTCAAAAAACCATCAAAGTCGACAAGTTTATCTACATAATATTCACACCACCATCGAAGATAACACTTTGAGACTAAGAAGGAGGGAGAGAAAGTAGATGGTGTAAGCTTAAGTTCCTTGTCGGGACAGAGAATGAAATCTAGGACTTCCTGATAGTTCCCTTCTTCGACACAAATGTCAGCATCGATACTCTCTTTACGTCGAAGGGAAGGGGCTTCATCTGACATAAACCAAATTGCCTAGAAAAAAGTTGAGGTTGGGAAGGGTAAATCCTAACATCTTTTTGCCTCATTCCCGAAATTATGACATCCCAAGATAGAAACCCAAACCGCATCTCAGTCAAATCCGGGGCTATGTTTCCAACTTGGTTATTTTGGCGAAGCCAAGACGGACCTATTAAAGTTGTTTGAATGAAAGGGGCTAAATCTTTAGTGAACTCGGTGAAACTGAGAATAATGTCAATGTATTTTGCAAAATTATGTTTTGAACGCTTTCAAGGAGTGAGGGTTGTCAAACGAGCTCCCTCGAGTTCACATATTGGAGTGAAGGTTGAATTTAGACAAAGCTTTTTCTCCAAGATCGCGTTGAGCCATTATTGCAGTAACCATAGTGGCCCAGAGAGATTTCAAGGACTTGACTCGCGGAAAAGGCTTTCTGAGGCTTCGTCGAGACAAGTATAGAGGGAGGCCAACAAAAGTTTACTCAAACAAATCTTCTTTTTTAGGTGAAGGGCTTGAGCCAATATGTAGTAATATTTGGGAACTTGGAGTGAAGGGGTGCAGAAGACACAAGCAAATAACCAATACATTAAGAAAGCGATATGCTCCAAGGTCGAAATAGAGGTATTGGGTTTTCCCATATGAGCAGTGATGAAAGCTAAGTAAGTTTTCTTATCCCAAGATATTGAAGTTTTCTTGATCGAAATCTCTTCTTCAAACACATCAGGATCAAACCTATCTCCAATAGGCGTTAAACCCGTGATAGCAGCGATGTCTAGCAAGGTAGGACAAATGAAGCCGCAAGGAAACTCGAAAGCTCGAGTCTCCCTGTTCCAGAAAAATATAGCGGAAAGTAGCATTTGAGGGTCGAAAAGATGAAGGTCGAACTTAGCTAATTGGATAAACTCAGAAATACCAGTTTCCACCCACTCAGAATGCATTGAATTTTCTACTCGTGTCAGCCAAGGTAAATGTCTCTCTTTGATATGAGGGAATGCCTTAAAAATCTTAGTGGTATCTCCAAAAAGGGTTAAGTCTATTTTCGTAGAATGTATGAAGGGTAGGGTAGAAGAATCCTCGGGTAACAAAGTGTTACCAAACCTTTTCTTATTCTGACTAGCAGAGGGACCTAAGAAAGCCTGAACAAACCCACTCTCTAGAGAGAAAGGGAGAAGTACCTGAGATTGAAATATCTTCAGACTTGTTTCCTCCATGCCTGGAATAGGGACGAAGGTATCGTTTCTGTCTTTGACCTTGCAAACTTGGGCATTGGCTATCAATAAAGGACCAATCTGAGTAGAGGTTGCAATGGCCATGGTCTTTACAGTGGCCATGGTAGGAGACATTGTAGTGGCCAGGACAGGAGATGATGCAGAGGGCAGCAATAGGAGATAATGTTGATGCTACGGCAGCAGAAGTTGATGCAGCAGAAGCAGCCATTTGATAAACGAAAGCAAGGAACGTGTGAATGAATGGATGAAAGAAGAGCGAGGTCACCGGAGATCAAGAACCAAAGAAAGCAAACAAGTAAACAAGGAAGCACTGAGCAAGAAAGCGTGGGCGCGAAGGAAGACCTAAGGTGAAACGGGCTTGGCAAACTAATTCAAAATTTAAATTGAATATTCATAATAGCTGCCAAAATGTTTCGTATCATAAGACAAATTTATGGAGGAATGTGAGCACGCGCCGTCAGGGTAATCAATGTCACATCAAACGATCATTGCATTAATTAGGTAGCCAGAAGTAGGTTTTCATCGAAGGAATATGTTACTGAGCATTAGTTAAGAAAACCGATGAAGGGTCGAAGATAATTATTGATAGGAATTCAAACTCTCTTACCAGGATGTTCATCAAGATTGAATTCCTAGGGGGGCATTTGTTAAGGTCACTCGAAAATCATATGACTCGAAAAGGGTATTTGTGAAAGCTACTCGAAACGAAGATAAAGGTCAACACCTACCAGGATCGTATTAGGAGCCTTAATTGTTCGCGCTCGAAATGTGGTCGAATAGAATTGGTCGAATCGAATAGAGAAATGCTCGAAAAATAGATAAAGGAGGTTACTAGAGGTTTCCTAAAAGGGTTGAGGAGTCAAAACAGAGCAGTTATTGGAAAGTGAATTGAAAAGATAAAAAACACGTGGGATGAACGGTTATGAGAGTTATATGTCAGACCACGTAATGAGAACGTAGTGGATAACGGTTATTTTCCAATAACTCACACGTACACAATTAAATGCCCTTTATTAGCTCTATAAATATGCAAGGCATGGTAATTTACGGAGGTCTGAAAACTCATACTTGAATTGAACTCTCAAGCACTCTCCGCCTGCGCATATGGCTTTCATGTAAGGAATTGTTTTTGGGTATGACTACTTCTCGGCCACCTTTCTTTTATCTTTTTAGGATTAGGATTAGTGTAGTTGTCTTCTGTTAATCACGTAGTTATAGATTGTTAACATTGTAATGCTTGAATATCATACAAAGTGAACCATGATCTGTATTGCAAATATATCTATTGTTCTTTAGTTCATCTGAGTATTTATGTGCATGAAAATTATTACTTGTTAATTATTGATGAATGCTTAGAAACAAGTAACTATTAATCTTTCTACTCCATTCTTTATCGTTCTGAAAAGTTCAAAGCATAATATCTAAATTAAAACGCTTGTTGTGCTAGTTCGAATAAAAAGAATCTATGAAACTAATTCCACCATAAACAATTTGTAAACATTTTTTTTCTTTTGAAAAATAAACTGTTTTTTTTTAGGAGAGAGATTTTAGAAATTAACTGATGTTAATTTTAGCTTTTGAGAAAACTTATTTTATTTTTTATTTTTATTTTTCTCTCTTGAAAGTCCTTTAAGACTATAAGAAATTTACCCAAATAAAAACAAGAGAAGGACAAAAGAGATTTTTTTACCTTGGCCATTGGGATAGTCAATAGTGCACACCTCTGAATCTGAATTGCTAGACTCATAATTCAAAGGTTGTTCCCCAATTTCATAGGGCTTGAGTAATGCTAGTGATTGGTTCTTTACTTGTATATCAGGTTCCTCACCAGGCAACAAAAGTTGATTTCCCACATGTCTTGTATTATTGGTATTGGGAGGATAAGGATCTGTGAACCGAACATCCTCCACTCTACAAAATGCCCTGTTTACATGAACTCCAATACATTTGATTAATTCCCATCTAAGTGAATCATTTTCCAGCGGTGTTATCACAAACGAAATATTCCCATAAATCCACTCATTTGTGTTAATTGTTCTTCTACTGTGGTTATCCATTGGATGCTTAAAACAACTTTCAAGATTGATCATCAATAAATGGTCATTCTCAACAAGCCGCCACTCAAAAGGTTCCACAGAAGAATAAGAAACACATGTGTCAACATCATTGATTCTAACTAAATAAATTAATTCCAAAACAAAACGAAGCTCGGTATTCTCACAAACTCCTAAAACACCGCACACAGTTAAAGATGGTAATTTATTACGAAACCAGAAACATAGAGAGTTTCCGTAGGTAGAGTGATCAAACCATTCTGGGACCCGATGACCTGGAAAAATATATGTATCCATTCCAGAAAAATTAATTGCCTGTCAAACATGCCATTTTGTGAGTTTGGAAAACAACATAACTAAGAAGAGTACTAGTGCTCTAGCAACAAAATAATACATATCCTCTTTTGTTAATTGAAATTCATGTCCATATTACTAATATGGGGATGAGAATTAGTCAATGAGAAACAAGCGCGCAAATTTACCAACAGGAGAGAGTGTTAGTTTGAGATACGTTGTTTGCATTTTTCAAGCAAGTAATTGTGGAGACAATTATAGAAGAGAGACTAACCCGTCTGACTAACATGTTTAAAGTTGATGAATCTACTTCCACAAGACTGTTTTCTGCCGTGAGTCTAGTCATGTTTGGTGGAAGGCCTCTTATTTCTCGAAGCTTCTTGCAGTTATACAAACTTAGATGATACAAGTAGTGACACTCTTCAATGCATGCAGGAATGATTGTCAAACTTGATTCATCTAACAATAATTCTTTCAAATAGGGAAACAATTTTGGCAGCATTTGAACGACATTGGAACGCCCATTAATTTCAAGCATTTTGCATCTATTCATGGATAAGAATTGAAGGCCTTTAAGATTCTGCATTGAACGTGGCAGATGTTTTATGGAAGTTCCGTCCAAGTCAACATATTTTAGTTTCTGCATTGGTGCCAATATTTCGGGCAACATAACAAGACTACTGCAATCCTTAATGCAAAGATGTTCAAGAGATGTCAACTTTATGCAACGTGGGAAAATCCCGAGTTTGGTACATCCTTCAGCACAAAACCATTGAAGATTATGTAAAAATCCTACTGAATCATGAATTTTAATCAAATTTGTGCATTCAGCAAGACATAATTCTGTCAAATTGGGCAAACCAGACATGTCTGGAATTCGTCTTATGTTCTTACAACCTTTAAGAACCAACTGTCTCAACATCTTCGAATTCTGCAAAATAATAAGTCTTCATTAATATCTCCAAGAGTCAAGTTAGAGTGTATAACAAAAAAAACTATAAATGTTTCATCACTTATAAATAATTAGACATGCCTCAAGTGGTTTGTCCCATCGAAAGCAACTGTATGACAAGTTGAGTATGACAAGATTCTTCAAATGAAAATTAGATGGTAAAGAAGCTCCAGGGTATCCCCACCATTCCAGCACCCTCAAACTGTTTGGGAGATCCTTAGGCATTCTAAGAGAGGCAACACTACTTTTTACGAGCATCATTTGTAGATTTTTCATTTTTCTATACACCGTTTGATTCCATTGAACTTTTAGATCTTTTGGCATGTCTAACATCATGACTTCAATTTCATATTCCTGTTAAGCCAAATGGAACAACAAAGTTAGAATTTATTTGTTATAATCATTGTACTGGTTCCTATTAACATAAAAATCATGAAATATTGTACAAATTCAACTAATAATGATGAGTAGTAAAAGAAATGGAAATGCATGGATATATGATTCTTACATACCGTGTTTTTGTCCAAAGCACGAACAATGTCCTCACAAAACCACAACCTATTTCTTTTCTCTGGCAAATTTGATTGTTCTCTAACCATTTCTTTTCCCATAGATCGAACCAAGTCATGCATTATCACAATTTGATCGTCACAACTTCCAGAAAATGAATCAATATTTATCAGAGATTTTTCTTGAAGCACTCTAATACCGAATTTTGGTTGAAAGCCTCTTGCCTCAAGCATATTTGTAACATATCTTAGAGTGTATCCACTAAAGAAGCAAGCTATGTCAAGAAATATTTCTCTCTCATTAGTATCCAAACTATCATAGCTAACTCTAAGAATTTCCTGAATATCTCTATTTGGAAATCTCTCATATGTTTTTAACACAGAATCCCATTCTTCATCTAATGTTTTATCCACAAAGTTTGAGCCTATTATTTCCAAAGCCAAAGGAAGGCCACCGGCACAATATAATGCACGCTTTATGAGTTCCATTTTATTTGGGTCATCTTTTTTGTTTTTAAAAGCATTCCATCTAAACAATTCAAGAGATTGAATAAAATTCAATTTTCCAACCTCGTATAAGTTTTTGATTTCATGAGTATCTAACAAACGTTTATCCCTTGTTGTTATAATGATGATACTACCAGGGCCAAACCAATTCAGTCCTCCAGCAGTTGCTTGTAATTGTTCTTTTTTGTCAATATCATCAAGAACAAGAAAGACTTTCTTTCGACAGAGTCTTTTTTGTAGTGTTGGAATTCCTCGATGTACATCTCCCAACTTGATATCTCTTTCCTCAACTAATTCAGAAAGTATTGTCTCTTGAATATGCACTAGACCATGCTTAATTGACTTTTCTCTAACATTAGCAAGAAAGCAAGAACTTTCAAATTGATTTGCTCTCAAATTATATATAGCACGGGCAAGCGTTGATTTTCCTATTCCACCCATTCCATGAATCCCAAGCATGATCACTTTGTTATCAAACTGAGCATTCATAAGTTCTTGTATACGTTGCACCCGAACTTGCAATCCAACAGGATAACAGGCAATATGCAAGAGATGTCGATTAAGTTTATTGGAGATCTCTTCTGTGATCTTTTTAATGATCTCAAACTCATATTCTCCTCTGTCATTAATACAAGTGAAATTAAATTAATGCACCCAATTTATAGTTTGTTTCCACCTCATAATTAGAAACTAATTTAGTGTCATATACTTTTGAGTAAATAAGATTGATACTCCTCAAGGTTTCGAGAAATCGCACATAATTTCCTTTTTCAAAATTTACATCAACCTCCCTAATATGGGATTCCAATGCAATATTTTTTAAATAATTAAGAGTTGTTAATGTAATGTCTTAGTGAGTGTCAGCGATGTATTTAGTGAGGTATTTATCAAACAATTAAGGGGGTGCTTGGTAGAAGAAATTTTTTTTCATGTTCGAGAACCATAAAAATTATAAATCTCAAAAATCATGATTTTTACAAATTATTAAAATGAATTTGGTTGGTCATAAAAGTTCTTAAGGATATTTATTATGTTACTCATTAAGAATCAATTATTTTCATTACATTAAATAAGTAAATAAAGATAAATGATATTTTTATTTGAATAAAACTTTTTATTTAACTTGAAAATGTTAGATTCTCATCTATTACATAGGAATAATGTCATGAAAAACATAAAATTGTAATCTTTTTATCTTTGGTTATTGGTTATTAATTATCTCAAGGTTAATAAAAAAACATCTATTAAGAGAGAAATAAAAAAGAAAAAATATAAACATAATGGGTGATATATGATATAATAAGAAAAGAGATAAAAAAAAATGTTAGTAGAGTGTTAATAAAAATAAAAAAATAAAAAATAAATAAAAGTGTCCAAAACTGGTTTCCCAATAGCAAATTAAACTGGCCGGACACAGTAAATGAGAAATAAAAAGTGGTGTTACCCAATTTTGAAATGCGAACCAGACAAATCAGCGGCTTGATGCAAAGCCATCCTCCATTTTTGCAGCTGCTGAATATCGTCTTTGAATCTTCCACGTTCGTGCTGTGCAAAGGCTTCTCCGAAACTCCCTTTTTGATGTCGCACGTGTGATGGATCAACATCATAAAACACTGGCAAGACCCACATGTTCTGTTTGGTGTAACACTCTAGGATATGGACTAGCTCATCCAAACAAAATGTTGAGGAGGCATAGTTTTTGGAGAAAACAATGATTGAGATCCTGGATTCTTGTATTGCTTTGCGAAGAGAAGGGTTGATCTCTTCACCTTTACGTAGAGCATCATCATCAAAGAAGGTAAAGATTCCCCTTCGACTCAAAGCACTATATAGATTACCAGTGAAACCATAACGAGTGTCTTCACCTCGAAAACTAAGAAACACATCATAAGTGTATCTCGACATAGAAGTAGAAGAGGCTGATGCATGTTCTACCATAGTAGATGCCAAAAGAGTATGATTCCAATGAAACTGAGATTGAGGGTAGAAGCTCTAATTAATCAGAGTATGAGACCATTCAACGATCAAATGAGAGTTGATTTTAGAAGTCTTCTTTTTTTAATTAAATAAAGAAAAAAAGTATATCACCTCTATCAACCCAGAAGTTTCCTCGTTTGTTCATCACAATTTATGATGCTTTTTTTCAATTTTATCTTGTCTTCTGCATGCGCGTTTGACCACTATATTACCTTTTATTTAGTTATTTATTTATTTATTTTTTTTATCTTTCATATTTTCTTCTACGTGTTCCCACCATACCTTTTATACCTTTTTTTATCTTTTCATCTTTTATATTTCTTTTTTTACTTATTTCTATTTAAAATTATAATTTAAATTATTTAAATTTATAATGATAATATAATTTATTAAATTATAAATATTTATTTATTACATACTTATAAATTAAATTTTAACATTTTAAATAAATTATTAATTAATTTAATATATTTATTTACCTTAAATCAAACATATAAAATTCAAAAAATGTATTTATCTTTGTTTTATTTTCTAATTATCAACTATTAATAAAATAATAGCTTAAAATTTTATATAATTATATCAAAATATTTTCATATCAAATTTAAAACCAGATATTAGTTATACAAAAATATTAAGATCATGTAGTAAATTTTCAATAAGATTTTAGCTAAATAATTTAAAATAATTAAGGTTTCAATTATATTGTTGATTATCAAATAATTTATTCCAAAGCTAATTAATATTTTTTTATATTAATTATTAGTAAAATTTAATAACTTTTAATTTAACAATTAATTAGATTGATGAAATTCAACACACGCCATGAGTTATTGAGCAAAATAACTTTACTAAGAGTTATTTTGTAAATTATTTTAAACCAAACATATAAAATTCAAAAAAGGAATTTATCCTTGTTTTATTTTCTAATTATCAATCATTAATAAAATATTAACTTAAAAATCTTGTCTAATTATATCATAATATTTTCATATCAAATTTAAAATTAGCTCTTACATTTTTGAAAAATATAAATTTGTCAGAAATATTCCATCAATAATTTAGTCTTTCTTACAAAAAAAAAAATTCATCAAAAATATAAATTTTTCGACAGATTTAATTTTGTTTTATAAGAAATCATCTTTGATTAATATAACATTTTGTATATATGATTTTAGAGTAAAGATTTTCAATTTAACGGTTGGATTTACAAAATTCACATAGCATTTGGAAGAGGAGGTATATGTTTTGGACAAAATTTTTCGAAATCAGTTTTGCCTCAAGGATTAATTACCTTTTTCGAGCGAATGTTCCTTTGTACCATTTTCGATAAAGAGACAGACGCGTCAAAGATGGTTCGACCAATGTTGTCAGGACGATAATAAACCTTAAAAAATTGCTCAAATTGATAAATAATAGTTTGGTTCTTGAAAGTACCTGATTGTTTCGGGCCCTGCGAAGAAAGAGGAGAATTAATCAGCTTCTTCAAAAAACCATCAAAGTCGACAAGTTTATCTACATAATATTCACACCACCATCGAAGATAACACTTTGAGACTAAGAAGGAGGGAGAGAAAGTAGATGGTGTAAGCTTAAGTTCCTTGTCGGGACAGAGAATGAAATCTAGGACTTCCTGATAGTTCCCTTCTTCGACACAAATGTCAGCATCGATACTCTCTTTACGTCGAAGGGAAGGGGTTTCATCTGACATAAACCAAATTGCCTAGAAAAAAGTTGAGGTTGATAAGGGTAAATCCTAACATCTTTTTGCCTCATTCCCGAAATTATGACATCCCAAGATAGAAACCCAAACCGCATCTCAGTCAAATCCGGGGCTATGTTTCCAACTTGGTTATTTTGGCGAAGCCAAGACGGACCTATTAAAGTTGTTTGAATGAAAGGGGCTAAATCTTTAGTGAACTCGGTGAAACTGAGAATAATGTCAATGTATTTTGCAAAATTATGTTTTGAACGCTTTCAAGGAGTGAGGGTTGTCAAACGAGCTCCCTCGAGTTCACATATTGGAGTGAAGGTTGAATTTAGACAAAGCTTTTTCTCCAAGATCGCGTTGAGCCATTATTGCAGTAACCATAGTGGCCCAGAGAGATTTCAAGGACTTGACTCGCGGAAAAGGCTTTCTGAGGCTTCGTCGAGACAAGTATAGAGGGAGGCCAACAAAAGTTTACTCAAACAAATCTTCTTTTTTAGGTGAAGGGCTTGAGCCAATATGTAGTAATATTTGGGAACTTGGAGTGAAGGGGTGCAGAAGACACAAGCAAATAACCAATACATTAAGAAAGCGATATGCTCCAAGGTCGAAATAGAGGTATTGGGTTTTCCCATATGAGCAGTGATGAAAGCTAAGTAAGTTTTCTTATCCCAAGATATTGAAGTTTTCTTGATCGAAATCTCTTCTTCAAACACATCAGGATCAAACCTATCTCCAATAGGCGTTAAACCCGTGATAGCAGCGATGTCTAGCAAGGTAGGACAAATGAAGCCGCAAGGAAACTCGAAAGCTCGAGTCTCCCTGTTCCAGAAAAATATAGCGGAAAGTAGCATTTGAGGGTCGAAAAGATGAAGGTCGAACTTAGCTAATTGGATAAACTCAGAAATACCAGTTTCCACCCACTCAGAATGCATTGAATTTTCTACTCGTGTCAGCCAAGGTAAATGTCTCTCTTTGATATGAGGGAATGCCTTAAAAATCTTAGTGGTATCTCCAAAAAGGGTTAAGTCTATTTTCGTAGAATGTATGAAGGGTAGGGTAGAAGAATCCTCGGGTAACAAAGTGTTACCAAACCTTTTCTTATTCTGACTAGCAGAGGGACCTAAGAAAGCCTGAACAAACCCACTCTCTAGAGAGAAAGGGAGAAGTACCTGAGATTGAAATATCTTCAGACTTGTTTCCTCCATGCCTGGAATAGGGACGAAGGTATCGTTTCTGTCTTTGACCTTGCAAACTTGGGCATTGGCTATCAATAAAGGACCAATCTGAGTAGAGGTTGCAATGGCCATGGTCTTTACAGTGGCCATGGTAGGAGACATTGTAGTGGCCAGGACAGGAGATGATGCAGAGGGCAGCAATAGGAGATAATGTTGATGCTACGGCAGCAGAAGTTGATGCAGCAGAAGCAGCCATTTGATAAACGAAAGCAAGGAACGTGTGAATGAATGGATGAAAGAAGAGCGAGGTCACCGGAGATCAAGAACCAAAGAAAGCAAACAAGTAAACAAGGAAGCACTGAGCAAGAAAGCGTGGGCGCGAAGGAAGACCTAAGGTGAAACGGGCTTGGCAAACTAATTCAAAATTTAAATTGAATATTCATAATAGCTGCCAAAATGTTTCGTATCATAAGACAAATTTATGGAGGAATGTGAGCACGCGCCGTCAGGGTAATCAATGTCACATCAAACGATCATTGCATTAATTAGGTAGCCAGAAGTAGGTTTTCATCGAAGGAATATGTTACTGAGCATTAGTTAAGAAAACCGATGAAGGGTCGAAGATAATTATTGATAGGAATTCAAACTCTCTTACCAGGATGTTCATCAAGATTGAATTCCTAGGGGGGCATTTGTTAAGGTCACTCGAAAATCATATGACTCGAAAAGGGTATTTGTGAAAGCTACTCGAAACGAAGATAAAGGTCAACACCTACCAGGATCGTATTAGGAGCCTTAATTGTTCGCGCTCGAAATGTGGTCGAATAGAATTGGTCGAATCGAATAGAGAAATGCTCGAAAAATAGATAAAGGAGGTTACTAGAGGTTTCCTAAAAGGGTTGAGGAGTCAAAACAGAGCAGTTATTGGAAAGTGAATTGAAAAGATAAAAAACACGTGGGATGAACGGTTATGAGAGTTATATGTCAGACCACGTAATGAGAACGTAGTGGATAACGGTTATTTTCCAATAACTCACACGTACACAATTAACTGCCCTTGATTAGCTCTATAAATATGCAAGGCATGGTAATTTACGGAGGTCGGAAAACTCATACTTGAATTGAACTCTCAAGCACTCTCCGCCTGCGCATATGGCTTTCATGTAAGGAATTGTTTTTGGGTATGACTACTTCTCGGCCACCTTTCTTTTATCTTTTTAGGATTAGGATTAGTGTAGTTGTCTTCTGTTAATCACGTAGTTATAGATTGTTAACATTGTAATGCTTGAATATCATACAAAGTGAACCATGATCTGTATTGCAAATATATCTATTGTTCTTTAGTTCATCTGAGTATTTATGTGCATGAAAATTATTACTTGTTAATTATTGATGAATGCTTAGAAACAAGTAACTATTAATCTTTCTACTCCATTCTTTATCGTTCTGAAAAGTTCAAAGCATAATATCTAAATTAAAACGCTTGTTGTGCTAGTTCGAATAAAAAGAATCTATGAAACTAATTCCACCATAAACAATTTGTAAACATTTTTTTTCTTTTGAAAAATAAACTGTTTTTTTTTAGGAGAGAGATTTTAGAAATTAACTGATGTTAATTTTAGCTTTTGAGAAAACTTATTTTATTTTTTATTTTTATTTTTCTCTCTTGAAAGTCCTTTAAGACTATAAGAAATTTACCCAAATAAAAACAAGAGAAGGACAAAAGAGATTTTTTTACCTTGGCCATTGGGATAGTCAATAGTGCACACCTCTGAATCTGAATTGCTAGACTCATAATTCAAAGGTTGTTCCCCAATTTCATAGGGCTTGAGTAATGCTAGTGATTGGTTCTTTACTTGTATATCAGGTTCCTCACCAGGCAACAAAAGTTGATTTCCCACATGTCTTGTATTATTGGTATTGGGAGGATAAGGATCTGTGAACCGAACATCCTCCACTCTACAAAATGCCCTGTTTACATGAACTCCAATACATTTGATTAATTCCCATCTAAGTGAATCATTTTCCAGCGGTGTTATCACAAACGAAATATTCCCATAAATCCACTCATTTGTGTTAATTGTTCTTCTACTGTGGTTATCCATTGGATGCTTAAAACAACTTTCAAGATTGATCATCAATAAATGGTCATTC